TACCTCTCTTGAACCCATTGGCTAGTAGGAATTTTGATAGGCGTTCATACCAAGCTCTGGGAGTTTGCTTTAACCCTTACAAAGCTTTGTCCAGTTTCAACACATGATTGGGCAGGTCCGCATCTTCAAAGCCTTGGGGTTGTTTGACATATACTTCATCCTTCAGATTCCCATTCAAGAAAGCACTCTTTTGCATCCATTTGAAATAGCTTGAACTCCATGTGGGTTGCAAACGCTATTAAGATTTTGATGGCTTCCATTCTAGCTACAGGGGTAAAGGTCTCATCATAATCAATCTCTTCTTCTTGGTTGTAACCTTGCACCACAAGACTTGATTTATTTCTAGTAATGGTGCCATGCTCATCAAGTTTGTTTCTGAAGACCTATCTAGTCCCAATAATAGTTCTGTCAATTGGTCTGGGGACCAGGTGCCACACTTTGCTTCTCTCAAACTGATGAAGTTCCTCCTGCATTGAAGTTACCCAGTCTATATCCTGCAATGCTTCTTTGATGTTCTTTGGTTCAATGGATGATATGAATGCTGAGTGAGCAACTAGATTTCTTGATTTAGATCTAGTTTGAATTTCGGAGTCAAATGGAGAGATGAGATTGTCCAGTGGATGTGAAGATTGATGCTTCCATCCGGACTTTCTGGTAATTTCTTCTTCTCCGTCAGCATCAGAATCACTGCATCCTTCTCTTTTGTACCCTGATCATCCCGCTGCTTGTTCATCAGTTCCTCAACCTCATAGTCTTCATTGTTCTAATTTCTTATACCCAATTCATCAAACTTTACGTACATGCTTTCTTCAACACAAAGAGTTCGTTTGTTAAACACCCTATACGCCTTGCTTGTAGATGAATACCCAACAAATACACCTTCATCACTTCTGGCATCGAACTTGCCTAGATCATCCTTTCCGTTATTCAACACAAAGCATTTGCACCCAAATGGTCTAAGATGAGCAATTGAAGGTTTTTGTTATTTAATAGCTCATAAGGTGTTTTCTTGATGATAGATCTGATAAGACACCTATTTGTCACATAGCAGGCTGTATTAATTGCTTAATCCCAAAAATTCATTGCAAGTCCTTAATCGATCAGCATAGTTCTAGCAATTTCCACCAGAGTTCTATTCTTTCTTTCAACCACTCCATTTTGTTGAGGAGTTCTTGGTGCTGAGAAGTTGTGATTGATTCCATTTTCTGCACAGAACCCTTCAAGTAGATAGTTTTCAAACTCCGTTCCATAATCAGATCTAATACTGGCTATCTTGTCATTTAGCTTCAATTGGATGGCTTTGGCAAATGTGATCAGTTGTCCAGCTGTCTCATCTTTCGTTCACAAAAACATGTTTCAAGTGAACCTAGAAAAATCATCAACAATGACAAGAATATATTTCTTACCTCCTCTGGTTTGGATTCTGATAGGTCCACATAAGTCCATATGGAGCAGCTCTAGAGGTCTCGTTGTACTGACTCCCTTCTTGGCCTTGAATGATGACTTAGTATGTTTCCCTTTAGCACAGGCCTCACAGACCTTGACATTTGAAAACTTTAGTGTTGGCAATCCGCGGACCAGGTCCCATGTAACAAGTTTGTTCAGCAATGAAGTACTCACATGACCCAGTCGCCGATGCCACAGATCCGCATCATCAGTTTGAGCACTTAAACAGGAAATATCATCTCCCTCAATGGAATCCAGATCTGCAACATACATATTTTTAACTCTAGTAGCAGACATGACAACCCTTTTGGTAATGTGACTTGTAACCAAACATTTATCAGCCATGAACTTGACTTCATTTCCTTTATCACAGATTTGTGAAATACTCAGAAGATTGTATTTTAGACCCTCCACACAGTGTACATTGTTTATTGAATTATAAGCAGATCTCCCTATCCTGCTAATACCAAGGATAGAGCCTTTCTTTCCACCACCAAACGACACACCACCACCTTGGTGTGCTTTCAAAGAGAGGAAGTTTGAAGTGTCCCCAATCATGTGCTTTGAGCATCCACTGTCCATGTACCATCACTGACTCCTTCCTCTCTTTTGCATAAGAATCACTTGTTAGATTTAGGAACCCACTTCAAACGGAGTTCCCAATAACTATCAAAAGGCTTAATAAGAAACCTTCCTGTCCAGGAGGGCAAAGTGTTCTTATTGAAATGATAACGAGGACCAGGTCCCTTATGTTCCCTTTTATCGTTATTTTTAGATCTGACAAATTTCACATGTTTTTCTTTTGCTCTTCTCAGACTCTCACACTTTTCTTTTAGATGACCATTACGCCCACAGTGAGTGCACAACAGATTGTCAGATACAAACACATATTTGCTATGAGGATTATAGGGAGGTTCTATTGATCTGCATCCCATTCCTTTCTTTCCATTGAAACTCTGATTAGATAGGTTAGAGAGTATCTTAGAGGAATCAATCCACCTTAGAGAGTGGCTTAGCTCCTCCTTGATCCTACTCAGATCCTTTCTCAGTTGGGAATTAGTTTCAAGAAAAGCAACTAGCTTAGACTCCAAAATTTTAAGCTTTTCATCCAATTCTTCCTCAAAGATGCTAACCTTTCTCTTTCCACTCTCTGAAGTACCAGGATCCTCCTTAGGAGCTATTTTGCTAGTTTCTAGATTACCTATCCTTAAACTCATTTCAGAAACTTGAGACATGAGAGCTGAATTCTCATCCTTACACAAACTCAATTTTTCATTTAACATTAAGTTTTCAGTGGTTCGTTCATCAATGGAATCAATAAGTTGGGCAGCAAATTTTCTCAATTTTTCAACAGGAAAATTTTCTAAATAATCCTTAAGATCAAAGAGGGTTACCTCATCTGGATCTTCCTCATCATCTGACTTAGCCATCAAGGAGAAAATGGAGTTGAAAACATTTTCATCACCTTCAATGGCCATCATTGGTACATCCTCATGGCTTTCTGCATCTTCTTCTGACTCACTTGAATCATCTCCCCATACAGCAAAGGCTTTTCTCACCAACTGATCAGAATAAGCCTTCCTCCAAACATTGTCTGGGACCAGGTCCCACTTGCGAGGTTTGAAGTCATGAGTTTCCTGCCTTTGACTGGGGCAGTCACTCATAAAGTGACCAGGCTTCCCACATTTATGGCACAGATCATTTGCAATAGCAGTTCTACTGGTAGAGGCTGTCTTTTGGAAACCCCCATGCTTCTTTATGATCTTTTGAAATCTTCTAGTGACATACGCCATCTCATCCTCCTCCTAAGTCACCTCACTTTGAGATGTTTTCAAAGCAATGGACTTCTCTTTCTTTCCTTCCTTCAATGTCATCCCCTGCTTCTTGTTCATCTCGTAGGTCTGAAGATTCCCAATTAGTTCATCCATGGAAAGAGTCGTTAGATCTTTGGCTTCTATTATGGCATCCACCTTGCTTTCCCAAGATTTAGGAAGCACTTTAAGGATATTGCAAATTTTCTTGCTGATAGAAATAGGTTCACCCAGGCCTCTTAGCTCGTTGGTAATAGAGGTGAATCTTGAGTTATTTTCAAAAGATGGTTTCCCCTTCATTCATATTGAAATTTTAATACTGGGTGGTGAGCATATCAACCTTGGACTCTTTCACTCGCTGGGTTTCTTCATGGGCTGTTTGAAGACAGTCCCAAATTTCTTTGGCAGTCTCATAAGCGGATATTCTGTTGTATTCATCTGCTCCAATTCCACATACCAGAATCTTCTTTGCCTTGTAGTTCTTTTCAATCATTTTCATGTCTGCCTTATTGTAGTCTTTTCTGGTTTTGACAACAGTAGTGGTAAGCTCTCCATCTTTCACCTCCTTTGTAGGAATATATGGTCCATCAAGGATAATATCCCACAACTCAGAGTCCTCAGCGTTGATGTAATCATGCATTCGATTCTTCCACCATCCATAGTATTGGGCATTGAAACGAGGTGGCCTGGTAGAAGATTGTCCTTCCTCCATATTGAGTGGAGCAGTCATTCCTTCAGGATCTTTTCTTTTCTTGGTGTTAACCAAACTGAAAAGTCAAGCTCTGATACCACTTGTTGGAATGTATGCGTCCACCTATGTAAATGGGACCTGGTCCTCAACACAATTACAAAATATACAGTAAAGAACAAATGCTGAAAGTAAAGATTGACAATCAACTTTACGTGGAAACCTCCTTGCTCAAGGGAGTAAAATCACGACCTGGCCTGCCAGGACTTTTCAAACTGCTTTCACTAATCTTCTCAAGCAAAAGTAAAAGCCAGTTTACAAACTGAGATTAGCCTACGAATCCCAACTCTAAGCAATACTTCCTATTACTTAGCTGAGCCAGAGCAGCTACAACACTGTCCACTATACTAATCCTAACCGATTAGTATAGACTTTAGAGTAAGAAACTAAGTTACTAGTTCTTACAATGATTCACACGAGTTTGAAACGTTTCTTTCACAAGTGAGACGAATCTTACAATATAAGCACTATTACAAGCAGACAAATGCAGTTGGTACTGAAAGCAAATAGAATCACTTCTATCAGGTCACTTGCTGTTTTGAAGCTTGAAAGTATCTCTCTTTGAATGAATAATTGACTTGTTGTTTGTGAGTTGAATATATTAGACAAGAAGAATTATTATCCAATGTACAAACAACATCGTCGCTTCTGATTGGTGAAGTACTCTGCTTCTTTACCAACTTTCTGACGCGGACAACTTTTACAACTGTACAACACTTTGACAGTTGGACGAGTATTCATACTCTGCAGAGGACTAGATCCCTGCACTTGTGAGGAGATCATCAAAACATTTAGGAGCATAAGCACTTATCATGATCATAACTAGTTTGGAATTGAGTGATACGATGTAGCATTTTAATGGGGTTGTTAACTAAGCAGTAGAAACTAAAGAAACATAAATTCTGAACTACTTAACGCATTATACTTGGCAATTTTTATAAAGCCAGAATGGGCATTGTAATACCATCAATCAAATCAGAAATGTAGAAACTTACTGAGCTAATCCCAGCAGCAAAAAATGGGACAGGGCCAGGCATGACATCTCCATGGTCAGTGGGCCTAGCAGCCCGATAAGCTTCAGGAGGCATAACACCATAAACAACAGAAACATTAACACCAGTTTCTCCCAAACAGCCCTATCTTGCAAAACCCTACTGATTCCACCACCTCCACCAGGCCTTGACCAAACATCTTCTTTAAACTTTGCCCCTCTATCCACTTGTTCCAAAGCACAACAAACAGTGTCTGCACCTCTCTGATTATCTTCTCAAACCGACCTCTAATACAAGTCGAATTTGACGCAACAGAGGATCCTTTATCGGATTCTCGAAGAAAAGTTTGTGACTTTTGGGATTCATGAGCTACTTCTTTTTCAATCATTGAGGAAGATGATGCTTGAACTTGAAATGAATAATTGGCTGTTGGTAATTTTTTAGTTGTTGTGTAGGGAATGGTGAGGGGAAAATTAATGATAGATGAAGAGGAAGAATGGAGGGAAAGAGAATAAGGAAATGGGTTGATTACAATGATTTTTTTAATTATTTTTAAAAAAAAGACTAGTTTATTAATGGGCTTTTTTCTCTTAGGAGGATTAAGGGGGAATGGTGATAAAGAGGTTTTGAAAAGAATTTAAAGGGTGAGTTGAGGCAGTTTGTTTGTTAAATATACCCACAACTTTACTCCTCTAGTTTATGACTGCCGCAATATTTGACATCTTCAATACCAACTGCCCATTGATTTGTAAGGGGTCGTTTGGTGTGAAGGATAGGTACAAATAGTCCTGGGATAAATATTTAGTGGCACTTAATTTAGTGTTTGATTGAGAAGTTTGGGATAACTTATCCTGGGATTAATAAATAGTACCAGGATAAGTTATCCCTCCAAAAGGGTGGTATACTAATCCCATCACAATTTGTTATAGGATAAATTTATTAAATGACAAAACTACCCTTCAAACCCTTTAATTGATAAGCTTTCACAAGCGTCGCTTATCTTCCAGGTTTCTTCTCTTCTTCATTGCAATAAGAATCACTCTTTCATTTGGGTACACTCAACTTTTGATTTTCGATTGAAGCCATAGATGGGTGATTGAAGAACTTCTTTACCAATAACCTTCAACTTTCAAGTTTCTAACAAGGTTAAATTTTTTTCCAGAATTTGTTTCTCTTTTCGTTCTTTGTCATCATTAATAATTCTCTGATCTGTTGCATAATAATTTGGATACACTCATTTTTTATACTTAATGGAAGAAATCAAAAAAAAAATCTGGAATGTTATGTTTTAGGGTTTTTGTAAATTTTGAAAAAAAACTTTGTTCTTTTTATGTGCTTGAAATATTTGTTAACAATTTCAAGTTGTCCTCATTATAAAGTTCCCCTCGTTGATTCTTTTTAAATTTTTTTTTTTGTGTATTAACTCTTTTCATTTTTCAATGAAAAAATAGGGTTTCTTATGGATCATCAACTACAGTCCGATATTGAATGTTTTATCATCCTTGAGGAGATATTGTGCCAACAATTTCTTGTTATGTTTATTTTTCTTTTCATGGTTATTCATGGTATTTCTATAAAAAGAAATAGGCATGTGATTAGGTACCTTATGAGTAGTTGAGTTCCTAAAATTATATCTCATTTAAATTGTATTGTACAAGATAGTGACGCAATATGTATTGATAAGTTAAGGATGGATAGAAATTCTTTTCACACTTTAGTTCTCTTAACTAAGGAAGTTGGAGGTAGCTGACTGATAGCAAATATATGTCAAGTAGTGAAAAGTTAGCAATGTTTTTAAATATTTTGGCTCATCATGAGAAGAATAGATCCATTAAGGTTGATTATATTAGATCGGGTTGGAGCGTAAGTCATGCTTTCAATGAATGCTTGAAAGCTATTCTAAAACTAGCTCCATTGTTACTTGTTAACTCCAAACCGGTGCTTGAAGATGAGCTTGACGATCGATGGAGATGGTTTAAGGTATATGCACTTTCAATTGGGTATCTATTAATTTATGTAAAAGTAAAATAAATATAATTTTACGAAGAAATTTTTTTTGTTTGAGATAATGTTATAATTTTTGTATAGGGATGTCTAGGTGCATTGGATGGTACTTACATTCAAATTAGAGTTCCATCTAAGGTACAAACCAAGATACATGACAAGAAAGGGAGAAATTAGCCAACTAATGTACTAGGAGTTTGTGATAAAAATCTTAATTTTACTTATGTATTACCTGGTTGGGAAGGATCAGCGGCTGATGGTCGTGTATTACGAAATGCTATAACTCGAACGAATGGTTTGAAATTCCCGAGGGTAATTCTATACATATACTCACATTAAAATTATATCACAAAAATAATGCTATATAAAAGCAACTAATTTCTTATTTATATTATAGGTAATTATTATTTGTGCGACGGAGGATATACAAATGGAAATGGTTTTCTTTCACCTTACTGAGGATATATATATATATATATATATTGGTTAAGGGATTGGCAAGGTGAAAATCCACCACCCCAATGTCGAGAAGAGCTTTTCAATATGAAGCATGCTAGAGCTCGTAATGTTATTGAAAGGACATTTGGTCTCTTGAAAAGACGTTGGGGAATTCTTAGAAGCCCTTCTTGGTACTCGGTTAAGATACATAACATGATTATTAGTGCTTGTTGTTTGATACACAATTTTATTCGTAGAGAGATGGAAGTGGATCCCTTAGAGATCGATATGAAAGAACAAGTAGAATATCAACAAGATAACATTGATGTTGTTGAATCATCTCAGGAGTGGACCACATGGGAGGGATGAGTTGGCTCAATCAATGTGGAATGCTAACTTAAACAATTGATCTTTCCATTATTTTGTGCTTGTTATATGTTTTATGTTGCATTTGAATTATTATTCCCTTTAGTTTTTGATATTCTTGTAAGATGCATCAACTTTTAGCTTTTATGATATAAGAAACAATTACTTACATTAATTTGTAATTTGTTTAATTTATTTCTTTTTTGTGATGTGTTGGTATGTTTTTAATTTATTGTTTTTGTACATTGAAGTGTATGATTTTTTTTAATGATGTTAAGTAATGATTTGGAGATACTTTTGCTTTTTATGATGGTAACTAATACTAACAATGATTGTTTCACAAAATTATTCAGACAAATGGAAATTCAGAAATCTTCAATGCAACCACCAAAAAGATCAAGACGAAGACGATTAACACCATCAACTCAAAGGACATGGACTCCTACAGAAGAAAGCACTCTTATAAATGGTTTGAAAGCGTTATGTGTTAATGGTCGGAGAGCTGATAATGGAACTTTTAGGCCAGGATATCTGATGGAGTTGGAGCACTATTTGCGTGAACATCATCCTGAAAATGGCTTGAAAGGTGAACCACATGTCAATTATGAATTAAAATTTTGGAAGAGATGTTATGCAAGCTTAAGTTTACTAAAAGGAAGGAGTGGTTTGGGATTTCAATATAGTGATGGAACTATAATTATTGATGATCCAAAAGAATGGGATAAATTTTTAAAGGTAATTAATATTTTGCTATTAGAATATTATTACTTCATATAGATATTTCTTAAGTCTTCATAATTTATAATTTATACATATAAAATTGTCGTCTTTCTTTTATTGTTTGTCTAGGATGATCCTAGGGCAAGCAACATGAAACTAAAAAATGGCCACTGTTTGCGAATTGGGAGGAAATTTTTGGAAAAGATAGGGCAACTGGAGAACATGCAGAAGGGCCACTGGATGTTGTTGAGGATATCTTAAAGAGTCAAACATCAGGACTTTCTACTGATATGAGTTTAGGATTTCTTATCAATGTTGATGACGATGAATATGAAGATGAAGCTAGTCATGGACCTAATGCACCTACTGAAGAAGCTAAAAATACTGATACATGGCATAATTTTACTCAAACAACTGAAAATGAATATGCTCGAGTATTTCCTCGTGAACATTCTGGACCATCTGAAAAGCAAGGCGAATATGCTAAAACATCTTCTTCTAGTGTCAATGAAAAAGAAAAAGGCAAGAAAAGAAAGAGGGTTGCAGAAGATGTTAATAAAACATTTCTCAAGAGTATGGCGGAAGTTATGAAAAACTTTACTGAAAGCCAAGATAAAAGAATTGGTTCCTTGATCGACAAGATTGGAAACCGTGACCACCCTGATATGCGTGGTCAAATTTATTCCATCATTGAAACTCCTACATTTGATTTGTACACCATAGAACAACGTATCAAAGCTAAAAAGGTTATCTGTGAAGATGTCAAAAATATGGAAATCTTTTTACGTATGGGTGAGCTTGAGCGCCAGACAATGATGTTCATGGTCATCAATGATAAACTTTGAAGTATGATAAGCTTATGTATATAAATGGTGGCACTAGTGTGATAGTTTTTGCTCAACTAACAGTTTCAAATCAAAACTTTGATTAGAGTGCCATTTTTTTATCCTCGAGTTATGTTCACACTCTTTTGTGTATGACTAATGTAGGTCATGAGGATGCTAGAATCTTTTGTATATGTAAAATCTATTAAATAGATTAACTCTCATGTAAAAGTTAAGTTTATTGTAAGTTTGTTACTAGTTATCAATTTTTGTGCAGTTGCTTATGTTGCTTCCCTGCAGTTTTGGTCTCATTTTTTCTACTATGGTAGACCAGTTTTTGGTCTTGTTTTTTCTGTTGCTTTGATTCAGAGCTTTTGTTTCAGTTTTGACAGGTGTTTTGGTGAATATTTATTGAAATTTTACCCTCATTTTAGCTGTTGTTTTAGTTGTAGTGTTGGTTGGTTTGCTGTATGCTGCAATTTTGGTTAAGTTTCTCGGTTAGTATGAATACGAGTTTCTGTTAGTCTAGGCCTATTGGTCATTTGCCAGATGAGCTAGTTTTTTCTACTGCTTGGATGCATGACTTTTGTTTCAGTTTTGACAAATGTTTTGGTGAATACTTTCTGAAATTTTACTTTCTCTTTAGCTGTTGTTTTAGTTGTAGTTTTGATTGGTTTGTTGTAGGGATTGTTGCAATTTTGGTCAAGTTTCTTGATTAGTATGAAGATACAAGTTTCTATTAGTCTAGGCCTATTGTTTCTTTGCCAGATGAGCTAGTTTTTTTATGTTGCTTTGATGCAGGACTTCTATTTCAGTTTTAACAAATATTTTGGTGAATAATTTCTGAAATTTTACTCTCGCTTTAGTTGTTGTTTTAGTTGTAGTTTTGATTGGTTTGATGTAGGGATTGCTGCAATTTTGGTCAAGTTTCTCGGTTACTATGAAGATACAAGTTTTTTCTGTTGCTTAGATATGTAACTTATATCCCTTAGCCTAGCTTTTTGAACTTATCATGTCTTCCCTCATACGTGAATTTATACCAGCTTTGTTATGGAATCATTTTTTTATAGGAAGCACTTTATTTTCAAAAGTAAAACTTTCCGAGCACAAATCCAATTTA